GAGAACTCTGTGGAGAACTGGTTTAACTCCACAGAGGCACTGCCATGGGTTGTCCAGAGAAGATATGGGTGCCCATTCCCTGGAGGTGTTCAAGGTCTAGTTGGATGGGGCCCTGGGCGGCCTGATCTTGTGGGTGGCAGACCTGCCCATGGCAGTGGCCTTGGAACTGGGTAGGCTTTCTCGTCCCTACCAACTGAAGCCATTCAGTCATTCTATGAATACTTGCATTTGTATTGGGCTTGATATACTGAACACGCCTTCAGCTTTGTTCACTTGAGTCAACTGTTACTAGCAGCCAGCAGCCTGCACCAGCAACCTGGCTCTGTGTTATTTGTGAGAAAAGTGCAGACTTGATCAATTCAGAAACTTTGCAGTCAGAATATTAAATCGGACTCCACAGAGTAAAGGGAAATGCTCGCTAAGGGTACCATCTAGTGGTAGTAACTAGAGGCAAGGACTTACAGAGGCAGCAGGTTTAGAGACTATAAAGCAAATGCCAATCCTATCGAGAAGCTGTTCATAACCTCTTTCCTTTTCAAACAGATGATGCCACTGAGTAGGACTGGCATCGGATCTCATCCAGCCCGTCATGTCCTAGCTGTGTGGGGTGAGGCCACATGAAGGAAATCCTTGATTTTCCACTTTGGCCAAAACTACCCCAGGCAGCGCTACAGGTCTGGGGCAGAGTGGGTGTAGAGGAAACAGACCTGGGGGTATTGGTCCGTGCTGGGCTGAACGTGAGCCAGCAGTGTGCCCAGGTGGCCGTGAAAGCCAATGGCATCCTGGCTTGTATCAGAAATAGCCAGAAATTGCCAGCAGGAGCAGGGAAGTGACCATCCCTCTGTTCTGAGCCCTGCTGAGGCTGCAGCTGGAGTACTGCGCTCGCTTTTGGGCCCCTCACTGCAAGAAAGGCATGGAGGCCCCGGAGCGTGTCCAGAGAAGGGCAGCAAAGCTGGTGAGGGGTCTGGAGCACAAAACTTACGAGGAGCAGCTCAGGAAGCTGGCAATATCTGCATGCCAGAGTTTGTTTCAAGAGCCTTACAGAGAAGATGCATCAGTTACAAGATGGACGGAAGCCTGTTCTGAGATTGGCTTTCTTGAACATGGAAGTGAATATATGCTGTTTCCTACATCCTTACCATGTAGAAATAAAGTGTGCACAAAGGCCAGCTACATGTAAAAACCCTGTGTGCTTTTGGTCTGGATTAATGGGCACCTAATACCTGAGGCTGTGAGTGGATGCCTAGAGAGATTTTCAGAGGCTGAAAGGGAAGATGTCATGAAGTGAGGGGCTACAGCCAAAAAGATTTTCACCAGAGAGGTCAGAACATGGAGAAAGGAGAAAAGCACAAATGGAGCAGACAGGACAGGAGAAGACCTCCATCAGAGGGACCCAGCAAGGGTGAGAACAGGGAGTAGATGGAAACAGAATGCAAATCATTGGTTGGCAATTGGAGGTGAATGGAGTACGAACAAAGCTGCCTTTCTCTTTTATCTCAGCTTTAGCAAGACTCTTGATGCTGCCTTCCCCAATATTGGATCATTTTGGATGTTGCAGTTTGTATGGATGGAGAACGGGATGTAGGCCCATCTTCCTGGAAATCCAACATTGTTCACAAGCCATGAGAATGCCGGTAAGCTAGTTCCACTTTCCTTGCAAATTCCTAATGCCTGAAACCTTGAAAACTTTTCAGGAATTTATCTGGGTCTTCACAAAGACCCTTAAATGCAATCCTTTTGTCATGTATCTCAGCTTCAGATTCATTCTGAAATGAGATCTGAGAAACCTGAAAATGAGTTCTGAAATGTGATCTGAGACAGGAAGCACAGCCTTACCAAGGGCATATTGTGCCTGACTAATATGGTGGCTGTCTACAACAGATTGGCAGCAGGTGGGCAAAAGAAGAGCAACTAATGCCACCTATCGGGACTTGTGCAAGACCTCTGGGATGTGGGACTCACATCACATCCTCATCTCTAAATTGGAGAGAGAGGGGTTTGAAGGCTTTGCTGTTTGGTGGTCAAAGATTCAGCTGGAAGGTTGCAGCCAGAGGGTTGTTGCCAATGGCTCTATGTCCAGATGGAGGCCAGTCATGAGTGGTGTCCCCAGGGTTCTGTCTTGGAACTGGTGCTCTTCAGCATCTTTATCAGTGACACAGGCAGTGGGATAAGTGCACCCTCAGCAACTTTGATGATGACACCAAGCTGAGTGGTGCAGTTGATGCAATAGAAGGAAGGGATGCCATGCCAAGAGACCCGGACGGGCTTGAGAGGTGGGCCTGTCCTTCATGGGCAAATAATTCTTACCCAGAACTATTCCGCATCTCAGAACCCTGTTAGGCAGCGAACAGACTTGTATTTACCAGTCTTCCAAAGAAATTGTATGCAACGTGAATAAAATTAAGTGGCCTTGGACCGATCACTTCTTAGACTTTGACAGCTGAAGCTAGCACAGAAGCAAAGCAGGAACACATTGGGTGTTTCTCCCACCTTTGTGCATTGTGCAATTGTTAGCAAGCAGATGAGGGAGGGATGACTGTTGTTGATAAAGAATGTTTTTCCTGATACAGGATCGATATGGCCTCATTTTGGTCAATTCTGGAGCCTGGGCTTCGGAACAAGTGGAATGCAAAACATGGCGCAGTGAGGTACAGTGGTAATGATTGTATAAAAGCGTAATTATTTCTCTAGAGTAAACTCCAGAAGGACTCTTTGTGGGTACATGACACAAAACAATGAAAATGAAGCAGCTGCGATGGGAACAGAGAGGAAAGGGGAGCAGTGGTGCAAGGGTGCTGGGATGACAGCAGCTCTTGCTTCCTAACAGCAGTTGGGGTCCTGGTGCTGCTTCCTCCTGTGGGGCACCTCCCTGCTCCAGCGAGGGTAGGGGCTGCCTGGGGACACAGCATCCTGGGGGCAAGTGCATCTTGCCTGCCGTCCCCCACTGGCAATGACAATGCAGTGATGCAGCTGGGTGAGGTTGTGAGCAAGGAATGGCAGAAGCTGCACAACAGTGTGATGTTCTCTGTCCCGCTAAACGCAGTGTCAGTGGGACACAGCATGTGGTGAAACCCCACAGTGCCCCCAACCCAGTTCTCTGTCCCCCGGGGCCCTGCTCAGCTTTTGAGCCCCTGTTTGTCCCCCAGCTCTTGGCTGAGGCTGAGGTTTCCCTGGATGGTGCTGCTTGGATGGGGGCTGCACATTGGCAGTGCATGAAATCTCTTGCAGGTGGGGGGAGACCAGAAGCTCCATACCCCTCCAGCCTGCTTTCCAGGATACAAAGAAGAGCGGAACATCTCAGGTGAGCCAGATTTTTTATTTTCCAGGTGCTCCTGCAGATATGCTAGCTGCTTTGTACACGGCTTGTCTTCTTACACGTTCTTCAAAAGGATAAGAAGTAGGGAGGATGATGAAAAAGCAGACCATAATGCAGAGCTACCTGTGGAGGAAAAAAAAAAGGATGCGGGGAGAAGGGAGCCCTCCACCTGAGGAGGGGACCCCGTGCGTGGAGGAGAGATGGGGCTTAGCGCTCAAGGTTTCAAGGGTTCCCCTTGCATACGGGTGGAGCTGGGGTGCCCTCCGCCTGGTGTCAACTGTTGACAGGCTGGTTCGGCCCAGTTCTGTGTCCAATGTCATGGTTTTATGATTTTTGGCTATCAGTATTCCACACCATAACATCATGTAATGCGCTGGGGGTTTTGACTTCTGATGCTCAAGTTCTGAATGTTTGTCTGACGGAGAAGAACTCTTTTGCACTAGAAAGACTTGTGAAAAAATGCTTCTTTGCACCTTTTAGTGAAGTTCTAAGTGAAAGAGCAACACGATACGCTTAATGGACTCAAACAAGTGATGCCGTTACAGAGGACGTTTTGGAGTGACACTGTGCACAGGTATTCTGGCTCTGGCCATTGAGCACTAATACGGTTTCATGGATGTAGATTTCCTATCAGTGTATCACCACAGAAAACTTGCTTTGACGTGGCACTATGAAAGCCAGTTACGCTTAGTTATGCTAAGCTTAGGCTTTAAGAAAACCAGGAATACTGGAAGACTTGCTGGAGAAGACAAGCATTTGCAACACTGTGATCAGAGCAATCACCACAGTGGTTATGGGGCCGTTCACTGACAGCTGAGGCAGAACTGAACCCCATCTCTCTCACAGTGTATGCCTTTGTCCTTGACTGGTTCGGTATATTTGGGGAGAACTCAAAAAAGGTATGGTACCTTCTGTACGTCACATCTCACTGTGGTTGTTCTGCACTTCAGGTGTACTTCCACAATCTGCGCAAGGACCCCTCCTATCCCTGTCCACCTCCACTCTTTCTCCCCTTCTCCCTCTCCTTCTCTATCTCCGTCTCCTTCTCTCTCCCTTCCTCCACCACTCTCTCTGTCTCTGCCTCGCTCTCCTTCTCCCTCTCCCTATTCTGTCTCACCCTTCCTCCCTCACTCTCCTTGTCCCTCCCTCTCATTCCCTCTATCTCTGTCCCTCTCTCCCCCACACCTCCTTTCTATCCCTCTCTCCCTGCTTTTTCCTCGCTCTGTCTCTCTTCCTGTCCTTCTCCCCTTCTCCCCCTCCCTCCCTATCTCCCTCTCCCTTCTTCTCTTTCTCTGGAAGTCATGCTTAGCCTCCTGTACAGGAACCATCCGCATAGGGAAGGCAAAGCAGCAGGAAGGCCCTGGAGGCTCAGCTGCTGGCAAAATGGCAGAAGGCAGTCAGGGGTCCTAAGCAAGTCTTCTACAGGATCTTCCCCACTGTGACACTACCAGGTGTCACTGTTTAACAAACCAGTCCACTGGCAGGGTGCCTTCTGCCCCTGTGTGACAGGCAGTTGTGGTCCCTTGGCCTTGCTCTCCCTATGTTGTTGCCTAACACCTGCAAGGCATGCTCCAGCACAATATGGTAGTGCAAGGACTTTTATTCAACTGTTATAGACCACAGTGGATAATTTGGAGAATGAGACAGCCCTTGCCATGCCCATATAGGACAGGAGTTTCTGCTTTCACTTGACAGTGACAGCAGCAGTGGCGCGAGCAGGTGCAGCCTGTCGCCTGTGGCTTCTCTTCCTCCTCTCGGTCGTCTTCCTTTTGGAGGGTGAGGCCATCCGCTGGCTTTGTGGGACAGCCCTGCCACGGCGCTTGGGCCCACTTCCCAGAAGGTGCTTGAGTACAGAGCTGTTCTTCACAGCCATCTGCAAGTGGCATGGAGAGATGCACTGTTGGTTGCTCTTCTTAGAAATCCTCCCAGCCACGTCCATGGTCTTATGCGTCACCCACTGTAGCACAGCAGCCAGGTAGACAGGAGCGCTGGCTCCAAAGCGTTCAGCAAACTGACCTCTGCGTAGCTGCCTGTCTGTGCGGCTCACAGGGAAGAGCAGCCCAGCCCGGGAGGAGCGGGAGGAGCGACTCTTTTTGGCCTTTGCTTCCCGGCTGGTGGAAGGCTCCCCAGAGCACATCGCCTCAGGCTCCTTCTTTTGCTCGGGCACAGTGCAGACCCCCTCTGCTTCGGGTGTGCTGCTTCCTCCCATAGGTCTCTCCATGCTGCACAACCCGATCTTCCCGTGCCTCTGTCTGCTTTTCCTGCCTCCTCTTGAAGTATTTGCTGGCCCTTGCTGATGTTTTCTGTCTGTTGTGTCCCTACCAGCCCAGTGTAGAGGTGTTTGTGGCAGGGTGGCCCCACGTGCTCTGGCAAGGCTCTCCCCACGCTGGCCGAGTTTCCCTCAGGAAGGGCTTCAGCTCAGGTCTTCTCCACTGCACGGTGAGACCCTTCACTCACCAGCCCAGTGGGAACCAGAGCACCTCTTGTGTGCTGGGACCTCCTCTGTGATCGCACCTCCCTGCTTGTGACATCATCCCCGTTGGCCCTGCCACTTGGAATGAGCTCAGGGATGGCCTCTGCACCCACCTTCTCCCATTTTCCCATGTCAGTGCCTTTCCCAGTGTATAACTGTACAATGCCAAGCGACAATGCTAATACTTAAGGCGAATTCTGAACTCTCCTCTACCCTTAATTTTTTTTTTCTAATTATCCACTGCCAGCATTCTGGCGGGCAAAGAAGAGTGGAACATCTCAGGTGAGCCAAATTTTTTATTTTCCAGGTGTTCCTGCAGATGTGCCAGCTGCGTTCTGTTCGATTTGTCTTCTTCATCACCCTTCAACAGGAGAAGAAGTAGTGAGGATGATGAAAACAGCAGACCATAATGCACAGCCTCCTGTGGACGAAAAAAAAAAGGATGCCGGGAGAAGGGAGTCCTTCTCCCAGTGGCGGTGAGATGGGGCTTAGCCCTTGAGTTTTCGAGGGTTCCCCTTGCGAGCAAGTGAATGTGATTCTGTGATTCTGTGATTCTGTGATTCTGTGAAACTGGGATGCCCTCCGGCTGGGGAGGGTACCCAGTGCGTGCAGGTGGGATGGGGCTTAGCCCTCGA